TCAGAAGTGTCCTTATCACAGATGTGTGTTCCCACAAACCCCTCAGTAACAGGTAACTTCATAAACTCTTCCCATGATCCCAAAATGGCTGCATAGGCAAGATTTCCAGAAGACTAGTGCCCATTTGGACTCCATTATAAGAGGGCAAATCTTCAAAGTTGTGTTAAACACAATTGGATGCCAATTCCAAATCTTTGTTGATATGCATGTATAAAATTAAGTACTTTGCCTCCCTTCCAGGTCTGGTCTGTTATAACACTTTAGACCATAATGTTCAGAGGCTCTCGTTAAATATTTTACACATTTGTAGCTCTGCACAGCACAATGGAATCAAGATTTATTAGGCCTCTAGCTATAAGGCACAGAAAACTAAGAAATATTCTAAATAAATTCCCTTTTCCCCACTCAAGTGGCTGTTTTACTTCACTTACTGACAACTGAGCCCCAGGAGAGACGTAAGACAAAGGAGAACACACAAAAATATTTGCCTTACTCTTTCAGAGCAGTAACCAACATCCCACTGTTTTCATAATCTTCCCTATGTCAAAGGCCACTTATGTTTAACTAATTAAAAATAAAGCCAAGAAAGAACAAACGAGCAGAGCAAAAAAGAAAAAAGAAAAACAGAATAGATTCAGGAAGTATGAGCAAAATGGAGTAAATGTGAAAAAGGGCTAACATGACTCAACCTCACAACTCCCAGGTGATCTAGGGAGACATTTTTAGATATGTGTCAATGAAATCACATTTAACAAGTATTACCCTTGATATTTTTCACTTATCATTTTACACTCCACTGTTCAGTCAGTAATCATCAGCAACATAAAACAAGTATTTGCACTGTTTTAGTAGTAAAATGTATCCCTACTGAAAGTAAATAATCACCCAATTTATTGCTTTTCTAGTGTCATTTCACTAAGTCCAAACATGAACTTGAAATAAACATTTTAAACCTTAAAAAGTTGAAGTCTGAGAGATGTTTAAAGAACTATCAAATCCTTAGTCAGATCATGATCAATACTAGATGATCTATCACTGCCAATTGAAATAACCAGTACCACGTATGAAAAAGGAGCAAAGGAAGTAAGAGATGCATTAATTTAAGCAGTCTGATCAATGGCAACAACCACAAGAAACCTCACATAAGCTGTTACAGAATTTGTTTCTTCATGCTAATCTCTATAGCCTACCAGTTTCTTCTTGCTGTAGGAAGATTTGTATCATGTATCCAACTAAAGCAGCATCTCTGAGCATACTGCATTTCAGATGAACAGTTAACTCTAAACCAAACTTCCACACCTTACTGCACTAAGTTCCACAACGAGCTCAGCAAACTCTGCAGCTTGTAGCTTAGCTCTCTTGCTATCACTGCAGCCAAAATAAGGACAACCCTACTCAGTACCTTAGAACAAATGAAAAAAAAAAAAAAACCACGAAGTGTCTCCTCCAGTACGCAGTGTGGAATCTAGGCCACGTTCCAGGGTTTGCTATTTCTGTAAAGCAGGCTTGCAGGTCATTGTCTCATGCATCTTCCACAGACTGCAACCCTCCAAAAATTTTTGTTCAACTCTGATCACATTAGTAATATAGCTTCAAGGGTTTTCCCAGAAAACTATCCTCAAAGGAAAATTAAGGCAGTGGTGAAATAGAAGGATGGGAACATGCAGCTTGGTAGCATTTTGTAAGCTGGTTTACTAAACTATTCAAGTTACCACATCAACAGAACAGGAATTTGTGGTAAAAGATCAGTTCAAACTGACAAAAGATGCTTCTATGATACTTCTGATCATTCTAGTCACTCTGCAAATATCTTTAAAGCAGCACAACACAGACCAACTACTTAAACTTCTGTCCTAACACAGCTCATTCTTGATACCACAAAACTTCGTTTGAAATGAGCTCATCAGGAATTGTTCCTCCAAATGAAGGTTGATTTTGAGTTTAACTATTAAAAAAGCAGTTTCTGTATGCGTTGTTTGTTTTTTAAATTGATACCATTGAAAACATCAGTAGTTAATATTAAAAGATACCATCACAAAAGTTAGCTAAGTAGAAAGCACACTGAGGGTTCAAGGCCTACCAGCCTGTCCCAACCAGAGTGCAGCATGGGGACACCAAGTGGAACTGCGTCCAATCTAACACTTGGAGAAGATGCTTTCCTCAAAAGAAGTTCCTTCAGGAACTTGATGGTTCTACAGCATGGTTACACTCCATTCTCTCTGCAGCTTTTTATTTCATTAAAATCAACTCACCATTACCTTTCTTGAAGAGTGTGAAGTTTGGGAGTGACTCTTGATTACCATCAAAAGGTGAGAATGAAGTAGAGAGCTGGGTTGATTTGTGTCTATCTATATATGTATTTTTCTTTTAAAAAAAGAGCAGTTTTTGAATAGAAGGAATCACATTTTTAGTATATTTTTTTTCCTGCTGAGGCAGAAAATGCATGAATCTAGCAAAACTGGTCAGTAGTATATAATACAGCAGGGAACAAGATTTGATGACTTCAAGTATTCTCTAAAGACTATTAAAATATAAAGAAAAAGCTCGTTCAGGAGGCAGTTCAGTTTACGATTTGTAAAGGTGAGCTTCAAAGATCTGAACTCAACTTCAGCTTGAACTTTTGGCTGCTTATCTTAACAACCAAAAATCTCAGGAGAACAGGCATTTTCAAGAAATAAAATCTCACAAGTTGGGGCAGGGGTGGGAGAAAAAATAGAAGAAAAAACTACTTTTACAATGTCAGAGCTACAGATCTCTAAGCTTGGATGCAGCCTAGAAGAGAAGCTGGACACCAGAACAAGATACAGTTTAAAAGGATAATGACAGAACATTTTAAGACTTTTGAGATCTGTTTTGATGAGCCTTGGCCAGAAAACAAGAATTCTACAAACCAGTAAGTTTTTTGTTCTGCATCCAAACAAAAAATTACAACTTTCAAATTGAATTTTCTAAGAGAGCAGAATTAAAGAAATCAAAACTGACTCAGCAACCACAGCCCAGCAGTTGGTCTCTCATTTTACAGACTCTCTTCTCCTTGTTCCAGATGTAGAAAAAGCAGAAGTTTGTACTCATATACACAGTAAAAACCCTAATGCTGAGAATTTTGGAATCACACACTGAAAACCTTTGTCTCCCTTTAATCTTTGGAAATGGTGCCCCAAAATCATTTCTGGTTTATTTCTGCCTATCTGTATCATTCACGTGTAACACAAGCTCTCACAGAAATTCAAAAGACTCCCACCTACAACAGGGTAATACTTCTGGTCTACTTTTACTTGCTTATTTCTTTACTTCAAAGGCCTGCATGTTTGAAGGATGATAAATTTTCTGATACAGGTGGTAGAAAACTGCATTGCTATTTGGGGGTAAAGTTCTTTCTCAAATATTAGAAGTACATCAGAAACATTTCCTTTTATTTTTTTTTCCCTCAGTTATTCGGTCTGTAGCTGCTGTTCTTCCTGATTTAAGTTTGGTTGGAAATGCCACATCTTGCCTTGCTAGAGTTTCTTCTCCTGAAGAAGGCCTCTCGAGCAGTATTATTTAGGGGGAAGAACAGAAGTCTAAACATAGGTCTTCAAGATATACAGCACAACTTCAGCACAAAATGGAAAGGGCCAGAAAACCCCAGCCTAATATTTGTTATGGGGTTTCCTTCACTAGTCTGGTTAGCCCAACCACTCATACACATGTCGATAACATGTTCTGCAGTTAGTGAAACAGCACACATCTGCAACCAGAGTCTGTTTCATCTCCTAATCATTTCCAAACATTTCTTTCAGATTCTTCTTGCCACTCTTTTTTTCAAGTCCCTAGTTGAATGGCTGACAATACTTGGCCTTTAAGTTTCCTTGGTAAATAAGAGCATGTACTTTCGTGAGGCACGTGCGTGAAAAGCCAACGCTTACTTCAGATTTGGAATATTTAGCAGCAAAAAAAACTTGGATTATAAAACAAACAGGACAGAGGAGTAAGTACACACAAAGCTTGTACAGGTAAGGTTTTAGTTAGGAGACTGGGAGCCTAGGTTACATACACACTGAGGAAAACACAGTTTTTGATGGAATAAGCTGAGGATTACATAATAAAGTGCCAAAGCTTTGAAGTTGAAGTCCTAGTAACAGTCAGTACTTTCTAATAAATTAATCCCTATGTGAGGCTGGATGCAACAACACGCTTGGCCAACACACCGTCATTCTTGAAAACAAGGTCAAGAACAGAATACCTCCTGTCCTAGGTAAACGCAGCACATCGTCTTCAAATTGCACTACAGGCACAGCAAAGGTCTGCTGATGAACTCTCAACAAAATGGGTGAGTGTAGCTGCCCATTATCACAAACTTAGTACACTTGCTACTCATATCAAAGGACAAATGCTTACACTGGAACGGAAAACAATGATATGTTGTGTTTGGCACAGCTCTGACATTCTCTTTTCTTAATGATAAACATTTAAACTACCTAAAAGCAAGAAAGGACATTATTTTGTAGCATCTTGTACTTCTGTCCATCATTAGAAGATTTTTCTTGCTAAGTAAAGCCATTACAAGGGTCTTCTCTACAAAGGGTAGTATTGGCAGTATTGTCATACAAGTTTCTAGATCCAGACAAAAAACAACACTTAAAAAAAAATTAGAGCTGAGACTATCAACAACACAAATTCCCTATATAATTTTCTCAGAGTAATAAATTAAATGCTTCAAATCAAAGTCAGACATATTAGCAGAAGACCAAGAGCCAGCCACAACAATATACCAGAACATGCTAATATGCCAGAAAACCTCAGAGACACCAGTTTTAGAAAATCCACCATTCTGTAATAAGTCGCATAGCCAACAACGTGGTGATTTCACATTAGTAAAGTAAAACAGATTACCCCAGCAGGGCTCATAACTGCAAGCAGCAAACATTTCAACAAAGAATACATTAAATGCATGCCATCATTAACACCTGTTTTCCCCAGTCTCAGTTGTAGATATTTTTCCACAAATATTTTTCACTTACCTTGATGACTTCATTTCAGGAAGTCCCATTTCTGTCAGGTCATTGGCTTCAAGAGTCTGAAATTTTACCTTGGGGTAATTCCACCGTGGTCTCAGCAATAAAGCTAAAAGAAACATTTTAAAAGTTATTTAGAAGTCTCATTTTTGGGGCAAAATACTTTACATAAAAAAACAATTTAAAGTACAACACTCCCAAGGAATCGCAACTAAAAAAAAATACACACAACTCTGCCATCTTAACTTTTGACCATCATTCTATACAATGTTAATTCATAGTCGTCTTACATGATTTCAAGAGCATGGGGAAAAGTGGTACCAGCCTGCTAGGAGTGCTGTATAGCCACAATATCCTATCCTTCTGAGTTTTCATATTCCATCTTCAAACAAATGGACTTAAGTCCAGGAGGCAGCACACCAGAAACTCACATTAATTTACCAAAGACTATTACATTTGCTACCAATTAGAACTTACAAAAAGCGGGTTAAAAAAACCTCCGTAAGCCCATCAGCAAGGCTGAATAGTTGACAGCATGCTTATCCTTAAATATTTGAGTTGGAAAGAACCTTGAAAGGTCACCTCGTTCAACTCTCCTGCAATGAACATCTGCAGCTCAATCAGGTTCTCAAAGCCCTGTCCAGCCTGACACTGAACGTCTCCAGGCAAAGGACACCCACTGGACCTCTGGGCAGCCTGCTGCAGTGCCTCACCTACCCTACCGTAAAAAAGTTCTTCCTTACACCTGGTCTAAGTCTCCCTTCTCTAGTTTGAAACCATTTTGCCTTGTCCTATCCCAGCAGATCCTGCTAAATAGCTCGTCCCCTTCTTTCTTACAGCTCCCTCTTAGATATTGAAAGTACACTATCAAACATCTCAGAGCCTTCTCTTCTCCAGGCTGAACAGCCCCAACACTTTCAGCCCACCCTTGTAGGGCTTTCTGAGCTGCAAGAACACATTGCTGGCTCATGTTCAACTTACCATTCATCACTACCCCCACATCAGCACAGCTGTGCTCTGCTTCCATCCCCTAGCTTATACTGATAGCAGAGGTTTGCCACAGCCCAGGTGCAAGACATTGCGCTTGAATTTATTGAACCTCATGATGTTCATCTGAGCCTACTGCTCCAGCCTGTCTAGCATCCCTTGGGTGTGCTGATCACACCACACAGCTTGGTGTCATCTGCAAACTGCTGAGGATGCACTCAAACCCCCTGGTGAAGACATTAAAGAGCACAGGTCCCTGTACTGACCCCTGAGGAACACCACTCATCTCTGATCTCTATCCAGACATTGAGCCATTGACCACCACTCTCTGGGTACAATCTTGCAGCCAGATCTTCATCCATTGAGCAGTCTACCCATCAAACCCATATGATATTTCCAGAGAAGGATGTTTTTCATTGCACCAGTACCAGCAGCAAAAAGAGTAGCTCAGATGCCAATACATTGGCAATGAAGGCCATTACACAATTTTACATACACATTAAATGTTTTGAAAAGTGCTTCAGTAAATACACAGCATTGCCAGAAGGTGCATTAGGCACTGCACAAAACTACGAAGGCTACTACTCTTACAAAGAAGTGCTGAGGATTATATAAATCCAAACAGGATAAAGATTCTACTTCCTTTTAATTCCAAGCAAAGGGAAGAACAGCAGATTAGGTCATTTCTTAAGTAAAGATATCTCCAAGCAAAGGGAGTAATCAGCTACAAAGGACTCCCACTTATGCTGTGTTTTGAGAAAAGATTACTAAAAAGGAACGTAACATTACCATGACATTTGCCAACCAATATGCTGATTTGCAGAGTAGAACACTATCATAAAATTCAGATTATGTAACTTCTATAATCATTCTCAACCCCAATGTCACGAGTTCACCAGAAAATACTTGTTTTCTATGAACTTTTGTAAATGTGCATCTAGAGCTAAGAAATATACCAGTGCCATTTTGACACTGTGTGCATCCACTAAGAGACTGGGCTTAGGACAAAACCATCAGGGAGATTTGATCCTGCCAAAAGTTTACTTGGCCAAGAGAGTTGTTTTAGTCATCTTCGCTCATTAACAAGATCAGACCAAAGCCTTTTCCCCTTTCTCATTCTCCAAAAGCAACAAGAGGATAAATTCCTACTTCAATTCCTACAGATTTCACAATCCAGAAGAGAAGCATCTTGGTTCCTGCCTTTTGGAGAAACTTCAAAAGGATGAGGACTGCACAAACAGTCCTGCAGTATTGGGCCAGAGTCATTGGTAAACAACAGTAGTTGAAATCCAAGCATAACTGACCAGTTTGTTATCCCAGTTCGCAAATCCCAATTCCTCATCCCTTAAAGCTAACGTAAGCCATCTGTTATTTGATAATTAGAAAGAAACAAAGGGCTTTTTCAACAGGTAGAAGTGGGTTTAGAAAAAAAGAGCGGTTTGGTTTCTATCAAAAATAAAAGTCTCTTGGCTCATTGCAACACAAAATTTGTGAAGTAGTCATAAAAATGCAAGAGAAGTTTAACACAGACATAGAATTCTACAGCTAAATTTGCTGAGCAATTATGCCAGGGCTGCTTTATAACCAAAAATATTAGTAGATCCTTGCCATGGTATACATGTCGGAGACTGGGTTTCAGAAACAAGCCAGCTCCACTTTTATGCATCCCCAAATATCTGCGGCTCTATTTCTGGATAAGATATCTGCACCCTACATTTTGCTTCAGAGCTCAAGCTCTCACCTCAGGCCCTCCCATGGACTTGGCCGCCCCACTAGCAGGCCCACTGTCTTTTCCTCAGCACTTACAGAAAGCACTCAGACACAGAAGCGCTGCATCAGCAGCCTCATCAGATGGCTACTGAAGTACAACTCAAAGTTGCACCCAGAGCATCTGAAGTTTTACCTTCTAAAGCAAGAAAAAGATGGGATGGCCAGGTGGTATTCCAGTCACATTGACTCACTTTTCTTCCTTCTTTGAGAACAAAGTGAAAAACACACTGTGACCTGTAGCTGAAATGTATCTACCGTATTTTAAACCACACTGAACACATTTCTGTCTCTCCAGAGCAGTCCCTTGGGACTGTACTCTGAGAAGGAGACAGTGAGAATTCAGTAGCTTGAGGGGCCATAATCAGACCGAAGCTCTTGTAAGTGGTTACCATAGTTAATTTTAAACAAAAAATGGTCCTCAAGAATATGCCTTCCCTCTCTCCCCACTGCTCTAGCACACCTGTACATCACAGGAAGGGCTGGCCAGCACAGCCCCCCTAACTCTAACAGCGTGACTCACTAACGTTCTTAATTCCTGGAGCGCTGTCTTGATGGGATGTCAGCCCATGCAGCCAGTCTAAGGTAAGAGGTGATGAGATGGAAAGGTTCACTGTAATCTCAGACTTGATAGACAAGTCACCATCCAGAAACACAGATCTGCCACAGCCTCTAAAACAAAATAGAGTGCTTGAGACTATATCTTTGGACATCACTTATAGTTCAGTTCTTAAATTCTGAGTATTCTAATAGATCTTTGCATAGCTAATGCCTGGGCCTGCCTTCTCACCAGCCACAAAGAGCAGGAAGACAGTGGATGGTAGAGGAGAATGGGGAATGCAAAACTCAGGTCCCAGTAGCCAATGCTTCTTAAGCATGCTTACCTAACCAGAGCACAAGTGACTTGAGGTCAGTGACTGCCATCCATTCAAATGTCTGGAATTAAAGTGACTGAAAGCAAACCTGTACCAGATGCCACTAATAAGTCTGCAGGAAAACTGAGCTACAGGTATCACCTCTCAGTTGTCTTCAATGCCTACAGGCCTGCCTTGGGTTTCAGCTGTAACAGCAACTCTGTAACATCCAGGGTTGAGGACAAGGTGGTGAACTGCCACTTAGTATGGCGAGTCACCAGAAACAGCAGATCCAATTGCCTCATTTGGTAAGCTTCTTCACCAGTTTCAGTGAACGGAAATACTGTTTTCCCCCCTACTAATCAGACTTCTGGAATGGTTTCATGCTAGAAAACACTATTAATATCATTATTCAAAAAAATATTTACTAGCTGTGAGACATAATCAGGTCAATAAAATACTCCAACATGCAGAAAATTGGGAAGTTACCTATTATGTCTTTGCATGCAAGCAGTTGGAATTGTGACCTTTATATTTGCTGTTCGCTCCACATCTAGTGTCAAAATATGCTTCATGCCATAACAACATGAGCCTTGGCCTCAAAGAACAAGCACTATGCGTGAGAAATTAAGGCCATGTTGATTGTCACACAAGTGCTTTCTAGTATGGTTACACTGTAGGCAAACCTCTTAGGAAAGCCTGCAGCCACCAGAGCCATACCTACATACAAGCTATGAGAACAGAACACAGCACAGGGCTCAGAGACCACTGCTGAACATCTGCTCATGGATTATTCCTTTTAGTAGTGTTGCAATGAAGCTATACCCAAACTTCAGTTAAACAAAATAAACCTTGGCTTGCTGAGCTCACCAAGAGAGGCTTCTACTCTGACAATTTGATCTGCCCTCTATGAAAAAGTCTTGCTTTTGCTTGTCTTAATACAAAACGCCAAATCTAAAGAGTAAGGACCAGAAACTCTCATCCTAGTCTGCTGCAGTCATGCAGCACCATTCAAGATGTGGCTTACCGCTTTTACCAATCTTTGTATTTTGAAGCTTTCTGCTTGCTGGAAAGTTTAATACACTAAGTGTAATTAAGCTGTTCTGGAGTCCCTCAGAATTTACATTCTTGTGATTCAGGTCTATAAATATCTAAGGTGTGGGGGGCAGAATGGCGAGGCCGGACTCTTTTCAGTGGTGAGTGGAGACAGGACAAGGGGAAATGGCTGGAAACTGGAGCATAGGAAGTTCCGCACAAACATGCGCAAGAACTTCTTTACAGTGAGGTGACGGAGCACTGGAACAGGCTGCCCAGGGAGGTGGGGGAGTCTCCTTCTCCGGAGATGTTCAAGACCTGCCTGGATGCCGACCTGTGCTACCTGGTGTAGGGAACCTGCTTTGGCAGGGGGGTTGGACTCGATGATCTCAGGAGGTCCCTTCCAACCCCTACAATTCTGTGATTCTGTGACTGTGTATCAGCAATAGAAGAAAAAATAAATCCCCATAGCTCTCTGAAGCATGATAGAATAAGAGTGTGAATTATGGCAGATACGTGCCATAGTTCCTCCTTTTCTTATAGGCCATGCAGCATGATAAAAGCTTGAATCCGCCTGTGAAGTAGATGCCTCCTGCTTTTTGTCTAGACTTCCAGCTGAATAGTTTGTCACAGCAGTTACTCTTCTTTTAAGCACGTGTACAAGGGACAAAAAAAACAAGACGGTACAGTTTGCTCGTCATTGGAAGAGCAACTGAAGCATATCTGATGTTGTAGCATTGTTACCAAAAACAGACCCTGCACTTCTGAAAAAAATGCATGTTTAGAAAGGAAACCTGGTTTACTTTCAGTGCAGAGTGCCAGATGCAATATTTCCACAAATCGAGCACAGCCTCCTGATCATTCAGTTTATTTCGTGTTTTGTTTTTGTTTTTTAAACATACTGTACTACATTATTAACAAGATGTAATAAAGAAACATCTACCTATATATTTGTTGGGTTAAGCAAGCATTGTACTCCATCCCCTTTTGGCTACTTTCCTTGGCCACCTGCACTTGAGCATTGTATGGGGGTCTTACACGACCCTCAGTGACTGTTTGGGAGTGCCCTCCTTACTCATTTTGCACAGTCCTTACTGCTTTTCAAGCTGAAGCATTAGGTCAGGCAGCACTGCCAAGAGCCAGATACATCTCATAAGTTGTTGCTAGGATCTCAGTCAAGTCAGTATTACCACTTTCATTGTTCATTTTCTTCTTCTTAATCTGATACAGACCATAAACTCTCCTCTACAGACCCAGCCGTTGCCAGCCTAGCAAAAAAAAAAAAAAACAGCTGCTTTAAAGCTAAATAATGGAACTCTTGTCACCTATAAATATTAACCAGAACAGAAATACTAGTGGGAGTGAAGAGTTATTAAAGATAAAGGGCAATTTTGTTATGAGATCAAGCAGCAATAAAACAAGAACAAATCTAGGCTTGAAATCAGAAAGCTTCAGAAGAGTTCTTGAACTAGACTTCATATCTCAATAAGTTAAAAAAAAGAAAGTAGATATTTGCAAGGGAGAACACAAGTTTGAAAGAAACACATCCTATTCTTCCACGTTCACAAAAGAGATTGCATTAGTTCAATCCTATTATCAGTTGTGGTTTATTTGCTCTTGGCCAGGCCAATACGATGCTCTAATCTAAATGTGTAAATCACTTATTTTAAACATCCACTGTTTTAAGATCTGGGATTGTTCCCTTGTTAAATAACAGCCATTCACCTAAGGTTTCAGAAGTTACATCTCCGGTCATTTCAGTACCTGAGCTCAGAAGTCTTTCATGTGAAACATGAAGACTTCTACGAGGATGAGAAATGAGGTATTTTGCAAATAATAAAAATACAGAAAAGCACAGGTTATTAGCAAAAACGTACACATGCACTGGATGCGAAGCCTCATTTCATGATGTCCTTCAGACTTCAGTGGTTGCACTGGATTTTAATCTACCAGCACCACTTCTCTAACTCCCAACTATTCTTTGTGGTAGAAAGCTCTTAGCAGCAGTGTAACACAGTGGAAAGCACAGCAGTGCAGCAGAACAACAAGGTCCTAAGCTGCAACAAGCGAGGATTGGCTCAAACACAGCACCTGTGTGTACAGAAATAAAAGAGACTACTTACCTACAGAAGGCCCAAGCACACAAGAGGGTCTCCAACAAGATAAGTTTGCCTTCACTGCCAACCCTTAAATGAGGCCTGGGAAGAGGTGGATGCTGGCTCCACCCCTTCTGCTCACTCAGGTACATTGTTTGCACCTGAGCTCCCCTGGGTTGTCCCTGCCCTCCTACCAGGTGCTCAATCACTGCTTCAAGCTGTGACTTTGCATTTCCACTTGAGGCCACCAAGAGGAACCAAGCTTTATCTTACCTTCTTCTTCAGTAATCACATTGGCATTGAAGTTAGTATAACAGCATTATTACCCTAGATAGATAATAGTACTATTAACTGAACATCACAGATGGGCTAAGCCCGAACAGAAGTTGGTGTGGTACTCTAGAAAGTATTTTGATATTTCAGGAAGAGGATGAAGCAAGTATACTCTGAGAATGGATTCTTTTCTGCATGACATACTTCACCCTTTTCTTGTTTATCATAACACCTTCCTATCATAACATCCTCCTTTCTTTTCTCACATTTGCTTCTTCTATTTGCCACAGAACTCTATTAGCCTTATAAAAGTTACTCATGTTTTAATAACTTCTTTACACGTTCTACCCTCCCTAAGCTGAAAAAATCTTACAATATCACAATGAGACTGCCAAATGAGCTGTAACTATCATTCACAGCTGGAGACAAACTTTGCTACACATAAAATGACGGGTTATGAAACAGCAGAGGCAGGATCCTCCATGAGAATTGAATTGAATCTAATTGATCCACCCGTGGACATCATTAAAGATGCTTCATCACCTGCAGCACTAAGTCACCAGAATGACGTCTGTGGTGCCTTCCATCTCACAGGTCTGTCAGGGTCTGTTTTGTTTAGGTAGCCACGTTACTGCATGGTTTCATTGCTGGCAGGAGCTGCAAAATCTGACTGTCCAGAATCTCTGAAGACCCCAGAATTTCATCCAAACCAAGAGTTGGGAAGAATTGGGAAACTTTGAACAGTCACTCCTTAACCCACCCCTATCCGGAGGCAACTCAGATTTTCCCCTAATTGGAAAAAAAAAAACAACAACCAAACTCCTCCCTGCCCACCTTGCACAACCGTTACTGAATTCTAATCAGTGTAGGCATGCAGTGTAACTGAAATCATTCCCACCTGGTGCAGCCTCCGTACCTCAGCAGCTGGGCTAAAAGATGGCACATCCTGGGAGAAGGAAGGGTTGAGTTTGCCTACTCCCTTTTTTTTTAATCTTTTGTGCTTTGATTGAATACCTTTTTCTCCCTCACATCAGCAGCTTTATCCTCACTTAGCTTTGTTGACCATACAGGCTGTCAGTAATGTATTCTTCCAGAATCAGAGTTACTATCAGCTCAAAGGTACAGATTTTATCTCCCAGCCAGCTCTGATTACGGTCCTTACTACTAAATATATCATAAACATGTGTTTTGTGAGAGTTGTAACTGCTCTCACTGCCGATAGCTCACAGCATCGTGTGGGGATGCCTTCCTCAGCGCTGCCCTTCTGCTCCCCGATAAAAAGGCGGGAAAGCAGCAGCACGGCCAAGCGCGAGCCAGCAGTGGGTTTTCCGGCCTCAGCGCCGCCACGTGGCGAGGAGCGGAAACTGCAGCGCCGGAACGCGAGCGCCGCCGTTAAGTTGCATCATTGCAGGTGCAAACAAAAAATGCGTTCGTTCCCAAGGCTCCTGTGAGCTCCAGCATCTCGCAGAAATTCACACATGTCACGGCTAGGTAACAGTGCAGCGAGTTTGGAGCCTCTGTATGAGTCTTTACCACAAGCTTTCTCCATGACGCCAGTATACAGAGCAGCCAAGATCGAAGCTGGCTAATTCCTTAGTCACAATGGTGAGATCCATCTCATGGACAACTTTGGTACCTGTGAGGAATACCTTAAAGTAAAAGAAATGTCAAAATCAAGTGAAGAGCAGCTTTTCTAAAATACATAGACTTCTTCCTCTCAACTTTTATCAGTGGGAATATTCACTTTTTGAACAGTTGTTCTCCAAGTTGCCTTCGCTGCTGCTTAGAAAATCTGCCACTTTCTGCTCCATTTAAAGATGTTATTGAGTTTCCCTAAAAACACCGACGGGCACATTGTGGAACCCAGGATCTGACTGTGGAAATATGGTTAGTAGTGAGATTTTAATGAGATTTTGATACTTAAACCTGGCGTGAGAAGGGTCAGTCTCCTAATTGGATTAGACATTGAAGAGATTACAGGAGGGACTTTTTCCTCACAGCCTCCATGCTGAGCCTTCTCTCTTGAAGCAGGTCAGACCATCAATGTAACCTGATAAAGTGTTGGCACTTGATGCTGAATCAGCTATAAAGTCAGACATAAGTTTATTCGTTCTGCAGTGGGAAAAAGGACAACACCCCACTCCACACTTCTGCTGGAATAAATTCTTGGCATAACCACAAACGTCCAGTGAAACAAATGCTGGGAATTCTGACAGGATTTGTTCTGTCTGCAGACTTCACTGGCAGAAGCAAACCAACACAGAAATAAGACTACTTCTACCCCAATCTCTCTGTGAGTTTTCTCCAACTAACGATCCCTACGGAGGTCCAAAATAGTACTTGAGGGCATCTCTGCCACTTCTGCTGCCATTTCTGTTCTGAACTCATGCAAAATAAGGGCATCGGGAGAACGACTTCTGTTTTCAGAGAAAAGCTTAGAGCTGGAGGGCAGTGAGGGAGAACATGCTGAAATATAAGTACATGGCCTAGAAGGTTACGTTCATCAGGATTTATGACTTGATGTTCTCCTTTCACGCACCTCTCCTTCTTCCACCTCCTTCCCATCAAGCACAGACCTTACAGCTTAAGACACCTTTTAAGTAATTAGATCTGCCTTCCACAGTTTTTCACCAGCATTTTATTTTTTAATCTAAATTTAAAATTGGTGTGTGCTTCGGAGCAAAGGTTGGACTCTGAATTAATCTCCCTGATTTTGCATGTAAGTTTACAGCCATGGGATCAAGAAGCCTTAAAAGTGAAAGAAAAACTCTTACTGTTATAGCAAGAATAACCTACTTTCTCCAAAGACATAATTCTGGGTTGCTGCTGTTCCCATGTACAGCCTGTTGAGGAAAATAGAAACAATACTACTCATGAGAAGCAGAAGAGGCTGTTGTATTTTAACATCAGAATCAGTTTGCCATTCTAGGATGCAGCCTTACCAACTTTCAAGATAATGTTTTGTACTCTTAGTATGTATTCTTAAGATGCATGGCCTGATTTTACAGAGACCGTTTCCCTCAGTTATGTGCATTCTATGCCAGTGTTCGTTCACTACTCACATACCACTGGCAGACAGAAAAAAAAAAGTAGATTAAGTAAGTGTTCAGTCCCAAAAGAAAGAGTAAAAGATACTTTTAAAGCTAAGAAATAAAACATTGTAAAAACCACATTGCATAAAATCACTGTATAAACTTCAACTCTGGGAACAATATTACTGCTAAGCTTTGTTCGTTGCTTCTTGTCAATTTTAGTTTAAATGTGTGAAAAATGGTATGAGAGTTAGATGCTATCTAGAAGGCAGGGTGGAAGCAGGAGAAAATGATCATCTGCTTCTTGTTTTTAGTATGCTCATTTTAGTTGACTGGCCTGGCTGAGCACTTCAATAAGCTGTTCTGAGGCAAGAAATACCACCATAGATGCAAGGAAGTTGTTGAAAATGGTAATGAACAGAGTCCAGACAAGCACACTTTTATGAAAAACAGTGCTGAAGCCAATCTGACAAGGAAAGAGTTATGCTCCTAAAGCCCATAAACAAACATGGCCATGCTTCACCCTCACACAGCTGGCCTCTGAGGAAGCTAATTGTACTTGCTCTTGAAAGAGAAAAGAGCAGATAAGCCACAGAGTCATACTGTGGGAACAGCTTGTATCAACTCTGGTGAAGGACATGAAAGGAGCCAACTAAAAATACATTCAATCCTAATTGTGGCCAGCTTATTTTGATGGGGACTATTTACATATTTCATTCAGATCTTTAATGTTTCTGTGGTGAACGTCTTTCTTTTTTGAGAAGCCTCAGCCATTACTTTTTTTTTTTTTTTTCCCTAATCTAATGGGAAGCAAATCAAGATATTTAGTCAAAGATGTAAATTTTAGAGCAAAATGAAACTTGTTACACTTGGGAAATTATTTTAGACATATAACAAGAAAATCCAAGAAGATATCAGAAAGAAATTCTTTACTTTGAGGGTGGTGAGGGAACAATGGAACAGATTGCACACTGAGGCTGTGGATGCCCCTCCTTGGAAGCATTTAAGGCCAGGCTGGATGGGGCTGTGAGCAACCTGGGTTAGAGGGAAGTGTCCCTGCCCATAGCAGAGATGGAACTAGATGATCTTCAAGGTTTGTTCCAACCCAAATCATTCCATGATTCTATGATGCAGTGTGCTTTGCTATACAGAGCAGGCAGCTTTCGCAAAATAGTAAATTCATGTGACTTACTGCCTATATTAAGTTTTAAATTTAGAATTTACACATCTTAATTTTAAACTGAAATTCTTAGAATCATTACTGTTGCTTGGAGATTGAGTGTCCTGCAGAAAGAGTAACAGCTTCCTAACATTTGAAAGGCCCAACTAAAAATGAACTCCCACAGTTTCGGAGAAATTGAGGAGCAGCAATTAAGATCTGTTTCGTAAGTTTTTTAGCATTGGGTTCTTCCTTTAATTCTGTTTTCTGTAAAGTATTTTGTATTCCCATGGCCAGCTGGCTGCTGATTTTGCCTGCTGCTGATGCACAAGGGAAGGGACTACACTACCAGTGACCATCCACACATCTTAGCAGTGACAACATTATACACAACTGCTGGACGTTAAGTCACAGTCTGTATAACAGATACACTTGTCTTAATTCAAATGAAAATTAGGATTTACTGACAGAAGCGCATCTCAAATATGTTTCAGTCTGCTGAAGATAGGAGCTTTTCAAAAATACCGCTTTTTGAAATGTGAATGGTCTGTCAGAAAGGCAGAACTTCACTAAGATTCACTGCCTTCTCCT